AAAAAGTTTAAGTCTAGCTCAATAATTATCCAAAGAAGCAACAGTTTTTTGGAGTTGAAGAAAATACTTGGCCAATTCAATAACAACAGGATCAACAAATACAAAAGAGCTTAAATTTTCCACGCATTAAGCACAAGACTCAACAATAGAGCATGAAACAAACAAAATAAGACAAGACTACAATGGAGCGGAATAAGATATGTAGGATAATCCTACAACATCATTAATCAAATTATAAATGACCAGTGAGGGCCACATTAATCATCAACCGAGATACAAGTGAACCTTGATGGCAAGCAAGAAGACACAAATGAGGCCAAATTACAGCAGGGAATGGACCAGAATTGAAGCACCACTTGTCTTAAAGTTGCCAAAGTCCACACACTGAGGTGCCCTGGCACTGAAACAGCAGCCCCGGTGTTAGCAGCACGAACAGCACCACTGCAACAAAACAGGGCCCAATCCGACATTGTTTCTCTCTTTCTTTTTTTTTAACTTTGGAGGGGAGGGGGAGGGGGAGGGAGGGAGAGAGGGCTCTCTGACTGCCAACTTGGGGGAGATGCAGGGGAAGTGATTGGTGGAGCTGATTAATGGAGTCCTGAGACAAGTACACATATATGCAATGAAAAAGTTGAGGGGAGACAAAGACTAAAGAGAGAGCGTGGAGAGTAGTGTGGGGCGGAGGTTAGGAGATGAAGTCATTTGGATTCACTGCCGCCGTCCCATTTTTTGCACTGCTGGGTTCCCTCTTCCCTGCTGTAGCATTTGACAACTGGCACCAGAATAACTTGCTCCCCATGCTTTCACTAGCGTACTAATTCTGTTGGCAAACCCAAAATTTAGGTAGCATGAAACCTTTTTAACTTTTTGATATGAGTGGGCTAATGCAGCATCCGCAGAGAATATGTGATGTCCAAGTAAATTTAAAGAAACACAAGTAAAGGATCCACCTGTTATTGGTGTTGGAAAATGAGTCCACGCATGGGGATCCCAACTCCTTAATACATCCACATGAATTATAGTAAAAGTTTTTTTACATGAGCATACACTCTTGTGCAGTAGAAATTTGTTGTAAAAATGTGATATTAAAATCACTTATAAATAATATCTGAACATTTAGGTTATCGATGGATACATAATCACTTTAATTAAAATGAAAAGCTCAAATCTCTTTCTCCTGATTAAAAAAAATCACTTATAAATAAAGAGAAAAATTCAAGTCAAATTGAAAAATTAAAACTTTGGTTCTCTCACATGGTTCCATTTTAGAACATGAAATTTATATGGTTAAAGTCGTCTGACGTCTCATAAGCTTCCCATGAATATATTATTCGCATTATTTAGATGTGTGATTAATAAGATCTTAAGGATTTACAATTTCGGGAACTAAACTGAAAAATCAGAAAAATTTATATTGGGGTTTCTAAGATGATGGAGTGCGGAAAATGGTAACCCCACTCTTCACTCAGATGCGTGCGCTTCACTCTTTTACTGCATTGCATGTTGGTTGCACCAACCTACCATAATAATTTTTGGGCAGTTTTTCTAGCCCACGTGCGGATTGTTGGAGCGTGGAGGCACGGGGAGACTCCATGGGGCACATATTGGAGCACGGTTTTCACCAAAATTTTAAATTTTGTTTTTTTTTTATTTTTTATATTTTTGAAATTTTAAAAATTAATAAATATTTTCTTTAAGTTCTAATATAATATTTTAAAAAAACTCTTAAACTATTTAAAAAATTCAAATAAGATATTTTTTTATTGCATTCAACTTGGTTTTTAAATTTTTATTTTGAACTAAATAAGTTCTTATATTTTTATTTTAAATCAAATATATCCTTATAACTAATTATTGACTTAATTAAAATGTTACTTTTCATTTTATATCTCTTGATGTCGACTTGGTATATTAAAATATTATAATGAACAATGATGTGACATGATGATATGATCAAACATTTTTCACTATCCATGTTAATATTACATAAGTATAAAATAATAAATGATATTTTGATTAATAATAATCAATTAATAATTACTCAATTTATTTGTATCCAAAATAAAAGTATAAAGACTTGATTAAATGTAATAGAATGTTAAAAACTTATTTGAATTTTCTTGGATATTTTAAGGTTTTTTTACTTTTATGTCATAATTTTTTTTATAAACAATCATGTAATTTTTATGTTTATTTTGGTGAAGTGGGACGTAATTTGGGCTTTCTAAGAGTGTAGACTATATATGTTGCTATATATATTATTAATTAATTTAAAATTAATTAGTTAAGTTTTTTAATTTAATTTTTAAATGGGGAGGTAATTAAGCAATTTTAAATCCAATAATTTATAATTTTAGCTTGAATATTTAGGATAAGAATATCATGTGATTTATTGCATGCCATGATTATTTTCTTTTTGCAATAAAATTATTATTTGTACTTTAAATATGAAACACGTACTTTTTTTTTTTGTTTTGAGTTTTTTAAAGAGAAGAATGGAGAAAGTAATGGTAAGTGAAACTAAACAAGAAGAGTTTGAGACTGATGGGGAAATGTTTGGAAAGTTATAGATTAACAAGTGACATCATAAATTTTAATTTTTTTCAAGGTTACACCTAGAACCTAATTACTTTTAAGATGAAGAGTGTGGGTGATCTCCAACAATGCTCATGAAGTGCATTGTTTGTTCAATACAAGTTTATGAATATAATAATCAATGCGACATTTCTTTTTTTTTTAAGTTAATTTCATTTCAAAAAAAATATTTACAAAAGAAAACACCTTTTGGTAGTTGGCAAGGACACAATCTGAGTTTTGTGATCGCAAAACTCTATCTTCTCTCATCAAGCTGCCTATGAGATCAAGATGAACCTAACATATCCACATCTCATAGTAGCCATAATCCTATACCTATTTACTATGCACAAAATATTAAAGTTCGAAAAATTTCTATCTCAACTAGGACATTCAACATAGGAGACAATAGAAACATAAACATCCAAGCCCATGGGAACATCCACCATAAACAGATCATCAGCAAAACAACAAAAAAAAAAACCCTAATATGAAAACCTTACTCTCAAAGTGATAAAAGCATCAGATAAACTTGAGCCAAAACCCAGAATAAGTTTACATCAGCCTTACCATTTTTTCTTGTCCAATTTCAACTCTAACAACTCGCGTCTCTATTAACTCTCTCTTTCGTAATAAAGTCAACCTCATGTTTACCTTCCCTCACTATATGGTCAACTTTCCATTTTTTTATTTTCTTTTTGATCATTTCAATGTGCAAGTTCCACTTATTAAATCTTCATAATAATTTTTCAAGCTCCTTAACCCATTTGACAATATTCCTAGAATTGCTGGCGACCACAAGACAACATTCATTTGCCTAAGGTGATTCAGAAAACAAAGTGAAAGCTTCCTTGATAGCAGCAATTTCAGCCATATTAGAGTCCCTGATCCCAAAAGATTTTGAGAATCTGATCAAAACTTTTCCAAACTCATTCCTCATAATCCCTTCTATACTAGCTTCACTCGGACACTCGTTTGCCACGCCATCCACATTAAATTTGATTTCCCCTTTCTCTAGCCTTTTTCACACAATAGTTAGCTTTTTAACTTCATTCTATTTCTGTTTAATCTCCATATTGGGTTGCCTATACATATCTAGAAAAGAATTAAACTCTAGTGGCCATTTTGCATTCACCCACAAGGCAATTCTAAGTTTGATTAATTCCCAGATCAAACCTTTATCCCATTTCTTGTTTTGAAACACCAGCTCATTTGTACCTAGCCAGACAGTCCGTGTAATTGCAAAAATGGCTAATTTCTAAACCATATTATCCCTCTTTCCCACACAAGTAGTATTCCACACAACCATCAATTCCTTCAACTCATTTGGCATTACCATTTCACATTCCATTCATTGAACCAGGCCCCTCACAACACCCAAACTTTTTAGCATTTCATAAATAAGTGGCTTATCATTTTAGGTTCATTATTGCACAAAAGACACACAGCCACATCAATTCCCATCAACCCTTTCTTAGTGAGTTCCCCTTTTACTGCAACTTTACCATGAACAATTTGCCAAACAAGAGCTTCTGTTTTTTCAGGTGCAACCCCCCCCCCGGGTAAATCCACTTCCACACTCTTTCCCTGCCTTTTCTTCCCTTTCCATTAATTGGTAAATGACTTAGTCATATACCCCCCATTCACAGTCTTTTTTCATACAAGTTTGTCCCTCATACTTGGATTTGATGATAATCACTAATCATGCTTAAGAACAGTTGATATTATTGCTCTTTCCACCCCAAGCCTATCTCTTAAGTTGCATTTTTCTTTCCCATATCCCATCAACTCATTCTCCATGTTCTCATACTTTCCCATTTTTGTTAATAGCAAAAGCAAAAATCCTAAGAAAACGTTTTTTAAGCTTTTCACCCTCCACCCGCCCATCCTCTCAAAAATTAATATTGTTCCTATCACTAATTGCAAACCCAAGGTTGGGCATTACCTATGGAAAATAACAGTTAGAAAGGGAAAGGGGATAGGTAATATTTTTCCAATAGTCGACTTTCTCCTATTTACTTCTCCTTTCAACAGCAAAAAGTTGACTCATCTCTATTTATTTTCACCAAAACCTTTCTCCAAAAGCTATCCATATCACTCCCAATCCTCCAAATCCACTTATTAAGTAATGCTTGATCTTTTATTTTCAAGTCAACCACACCAATTCATCCTAGTTCCTTTTGTCTACAAACTTTTTCCCAAGACACATAATATACGTTTTTATTCTTCTTATCCCCTTCTCATAATAATCTTCTTGTATTTTTTTTATCTTTCCTAACCCTCAACAGCATATAAAAATAGACAAAAAAATTTGACAAACATGAAAGGATAGACTTCATCAATGTGATTCTCCCTCCCATAGAAAATAGCTTGGTTTGTCAGCCCACCAATTTCTTTTCAACCTTCTGGATCACCAGTCCCTAGACCTACAAAGAGTGGTGGGTGCCTTGCTCTAAAGGAAAGCTGAGATATGTATTGGAGAGTTTATCACTCCTACATCCCATTGCTACTGCCCATTCCTCTAAAGTCTCAATTTCAATATCAATCCTAATTAAACCACGCTTTGCAAAGTTAATTTTTAACCTTGACATAGCTCGAAAGATTCTTAGAATTCTCCTAATATTCTTAATCTCTTCAAGATCCAAGTAACTGAAAACCATTGTGTCATCTGCATATTGCAAATGTGACACAATTAATCCATTCTTTCGCATAACGATCCCTCTATAGACCTCATGACTTTATGCTTTTTTCATCAGGCAACTGATGACTTCATTCACAAGATTAAACAGAAATGGTAAAAGAAGATCACCCTATTCAAGTCCTCTCTCCATGCTAAATACCTTTGTTCGAGATCCATTAACAAGCACAAAGACCCCTGTTGTTGAAATGCACCCCTTGACCCACATTCTCCATTAATCACCAAATCCCATCTTTTTCATAACCATGTCAATAAAGCCCCAATCCACACTATTGTATGCCTTCTTAAAGTCTATTTTAAGAATCATTCCTCATGTTCTCTCTTTCCTCAAGAAATCAACAAATTTGTTAGCTATTAGCACTGTCCATCAATTGCCTCCTTTTAGTAAACACAAACTGATTATTTCCTATAACTTCCCCTATCACTTTCTTGAGCCTATTAGCCTGCAATTTAGCAACAATCTTATAGAGGCTACCAACTAAGCTGATGGGCTTGTAATCTTTGAGTTTCGAAGAGTTACCAACCTTAGGGATAAAAGTGACAAAGGACTGATTTACCCTATTCCCATGACTACCAATATCAAAGAATCGCACAACAAACTCCATTAATTTACCTTTAACCACACCCTATTGTTTCTTGTAGAAGCTTTTGTTGTATCCATCAAGCCTCAGAGTTTTGCTACCTTCACAACCACATATGGTATCCCAGACTTCTTTTTCAGTGATAGGCACTTCCAACGATATCATTGCATTCTGACTCAACATTTTGACATCACAATCTTGAACATCCACTTCTGGCACTTTATTTTTTTTATACAACTCTTCAAAGTGCTTTACTATTTCCCTTTTAACTCCTTCTAGATCTTCAATAATCTTGTCATTCACCACCTTATCAATATGATTACCTCTTATTCTAGTCGACACCATTTGGTGAAAGTATTTATTATTCTTATCTCCCTAATTCATGTATTTAATCATTAATTTTTTCTTCTATTTTCTCTCTTGTACCTTTAAAAGGTTCCACAATTTTGCCTTCCTCACCACTAAATTTTGCCTCAAGCTACTCTCCCTTTATTCCATCAGAAACCCTCGATTTAGATTAGATAACTTCTTTTATAATTGCACAATTCTTTTTGTAATATTCTCGAATATACTTTATTGTTATTCTCTGATTTGGGCTAAAGACTTTTAAGACATTCCCATGTCCTATTCTCATATCTGTTCCCCCCACTCACATTACCCTATTGCTCTTCAATCAACTTCTTAAATTCTTCTTCATCAAGCCAATGATCAAACATTCAGCATAGCTTAGGACTGTAAGTAACTTCTTTCCACTCAATTTTCACTAGACAGTGGTCTAACATAAAGCAAGAGAGACAAGTTTGCAAAATATTGTTAAATAACCCAAGATCTTCGTGTCAATGATAAAACGGTCTAACTTGCTGAAAAAGCCTTCTCCCAATTGTTGCACCATGTAAATTTGGCTCTAGTTAGTGGCAAATCTACCAATCCCACTTCATTTATAAAATAGTCAAAATGAGCAATAAACCTCCCTATCTTTCCTTTCTCAATTTTTTCATTTTCTGATTTATCAATATTAAAATCACCCCCAATCACCCACTAAACCTCAAACTTTCTCATCTGCTCCACTACCTCATCCCACACATTCTTGCTTTTTCTTTCCTCATTGGGGGTTTAACTATTTATAAAACCACATTTTCAACTCAACCCTCTAACCATCCCTACCACAATCAAGTAACACCTGGACTGGATGCATTCCTCTATTATGAAGAAACTGCACTACCATGTACTAATCATCCATCCTTTTGTAAGCACTGCTCTCCTATGAACCTCACCCTTTTTCCATAATCTTTCATGCAGAGATTTTTTCACTGCTCTCCATAATCTCTTATATGAACACCATACTTAACTTTTCTAATTCAGTCACTCTCCTGATGGACCTTCTCTTCTCACATTGCCCTTATTCCTCTAGCACTCCAATTATTATATTTATCATGAAAATTGAACCGTACTGGACAACCACCCCTTAGTCTCAATCTTTCTTCTTCTTGTTAAACTTCCCTAAAACCACTTTTCCCTTATTTCCAATCTCCATCTCTTAAAACCTCTGCGCCATCGTGTCTCAACTTACCTTAAACTAAACACCCATATTCCTACTCAACTCCCAAGTGGCTCTTACTTCATTGACCCACTGCGGTACCTATCAAATATTGCCACTTTCTAATTCTGAAACACGTTCCTTAAAGTTTTTTATTGATTCTTCAATACCCCTTAAATATTTTTTAATCTCACTTTTGAATTTTTCCTTTAAGTTCTTGACTTGTTACTAGTGACCTTACCATCTTCCATCTCACATTTTTCTCCTAATTCTCCTAATTTACTATTTGTATATGACCTACCACCACCTTTTTTCCAACTTTCTCTACTTTGGTAGTTACTGCCCACTTTACTTTTTTCCTCCATATTCTCTTTTCCCTTACTCAACTTTCACTTTTTTCTTCCGTTAGATCACTAGGGGCATTGCACCAATCATCCTTTTTTAGCTCAATCCCTACCTAGTTACTTCCTTTTCATTAGCAACATCCATATCAAAATGCACAACTTCTTTGTTTCTAGTCTCTTTTTTCCATCTTCTTTTTCTTAAGCTGAAGCCTTCTAAAGTTACCATTTTTCGCTTAAAAGTTTTCCCATTTGACCTAATGAATTTTTCCAAATCTCACTAGTACTTCCCTCATTCACTATCACAGCCCCTTTTTGTTCGACATTCGAATGAAGCCCTAGTGACAATATCTCATCGTGTCTTTTTTTCTTGTGTGGGTTGGCACTACACAACTGTCTTTGTGTTTCCCTTTCATTTCCAAAACAATAGGCCTTCATCCTTATGCTTGCCTCCTTCATTATACCTAGGCTTACATTCTTTTTCTCAATTTCTCCCCTACTTGTGCATTTCAAGTATCCTTTTTAAGCCTTGACCTTACAAATTAACTTTCTCTTTTCTACCCCATGAAGTGATTTAAGTTTGGACAGCCCAATCCAGTTGCTCTTTTCCTCAATCTTCTTCTAACTTTCCTTTCTATTATCCCTTTATGATTTTTCAAATTTTGAAATTTGAGTTTAGCCCTCTCCTTTTACCCTATCAGCACAATTCCCACCATACTCTTTGAAATCACCAGCTAACTGCCATCGTTTTGTCTGATCATCTTCTTCTATAAAGTACGAATACTCTTGTTCCTAATAACATCAAAAATTCCTTATCAAACTCACCTCTATCGTTTCCATAAAAGACTCCAATGAGCTAACGATGCTTTTAGCCACCGCTTTCTCTTCCCTTTTCACAATTGACCTTTGGTCTTTCACATAACCCACTAATCTTATGATAGTGACTCGAATCCATTAATTTTCCTTTAGCGAGGACCTTGTTAATTACCATAATCTTAAGTTTATTATCTACTTTCACTAGAATTGTTGCATAGTTAGGTTTACCATTCTCTTTTGTCACATAATCTTCTCTAATAAACTTCCCTTAGCTATTCCTAAATGGCTTAAACATGGTTTTATGCCACAGATGCAAAGGGATGTCTTCAAGTCTAACCCACATTTGATAAATTTTGCCCTACTTCCATTTCTTGTATGATTTTATATCTTCAAACCACACCTTAAAAATTTCTCGATACATGCCCAAAAAGCACTATACTTCCTCACTATCCTCAAAAGAGATCAACATTAAGCCCCCTCTCATTGTTCTAACATGGACTCGTGCCCCCTCCGCTTAGAGAACATTTTGGATACCTTTAAGGCTAAGGCCTTCCCTCAATCATCTAACTACACACCACTCTAACCATTCAATATTAATATCTTTCGTCTAAATAGAACATGCGGACCACCTATTATAGTTTTTCGCTACCCTTTTCTCAGTCTATTCCTCAACCATTTGTTGTGTCTGCTTGTTCAACTTTATCTTAGTCTTTCTTTCCTTTTTATTAATACTATGCCTCTCCTTTTTACATTTCTCCAAAATGTAATATTTGACCATCGTTGGTGTCCTTGGTTCCAATAGCTTACAAACTACCTTCTCCTACCATTCTCATTACCTTCTCTAGTGAAAAATTCACCTCCTCCACCCTACTCGTACATTCTCCAACTTCTCTCTTGCAGCTTTTCCCTTACTATGATATTTCATTAAATGCAATGTATTAGGAATTACTTATTGCAAAAAAAAGTTGTAATTCTTAATGTATTAGATGAAAGCTTAGTGAATAAATATATTTACACACCACTTATTATAAATAAAATTATCTTAGTATGATGCACTAGAATACCAATAGAGTCACATTGGACTTACCTTACATATTTATGTGATGGTAAAATCTTATAACGAGGATAAAGGGATGATATACATATTTCACCTTATATGCTTAGAGATGATTATAGATCTTAAAAGTGAAACTTTTTGAGCTTAGTGCATAAGAAGAAATTTTACGATTTAATTAAATTGAGAATAAAATATTGAATATAGTGCCTAACTAGAAGCTTTCACAATGATGCAAAAAATGACAATCATAGAACTTAAAAAAAAAAAAAGAAGTTTAACGGGACTAATTATGATATATGGCATGGCAAGATTTAACATCTTTTAAATGACAAAAAGGTTCTTAAAACTTTAACCAATAACATAAATTTACTAGAGCAACAGAATATTACCCAACACCAAAAAGATTTAGTGGCCTACGAAAATTAACTTAAAAAGCATCGTATTGCATGCTTTACTATGTTAAGTTGTATACATGATGATTATATTGGAGAGCTTGAGACTTTCCATACTACTAAAGATATATAAGATTGATTGAAAGTGAAATATGGTGGACTCACTATAATGAGGCTTTATTTCTTGAATCTTAAGATTCAATTCACCAAAAGTGTACTTTCCTTGACAAACAAAAATCTCTTTTTCAAATCTAACAATTCCCAAATCTAGGAAATATTTTAAAGCACCTAGATCATTAAGCTTGAATTGTGATTTCAAGTATTGCTTCATTTTTTCTGATGCTTCAATTGATGAACTACTAACCACATTGTCATCAATATACGTTGATAAAGTTATGAAATCATCCCTTGTCAATATGTGGTTACAATCCGTAGGTATGGATGTTGGCTTTGTTCCTAAGAAACCACATCTGTTGACTAAGTCTAATGTGTACTTTCTTTGACAAGCAAAAATCTCTTTTTCAGATCTAACAATTTCCAAATTTAGGAAATATTTTAATGCACCTAGATCCTTAAGCTTGAATTGTGATTCCAAGGCACGAAGCCTTGAAATTTATTCTTAAATAAATTTGGTGGATCTAGGAAATATGGTGGACTCACTATAACGAGGGTTCATGCCTTGATTGTTCAATGCCTTGTGTTTTGTTGTTTTGTTGAGATAAGATTTCCTTGTGGTTGTTCCTTGATTTTAGGTTATTATGTTACTGTTTGGATATAGTAGCTCAAAGTCAAGTTGTGATTTATTGTACAATCTAGGGTTGTGATTTATTCTTTCATAATAAATGAAATTCTATCGTGAATGGTTATAAGGTTAAAAGGGA